CCCCCCCCATATACTTCATATATCAAATATACCCATTTTGGTGGCCTTCTTTCTTCTTCCCCAAAAGCCAAAACACACACACAAAAAAACATAAAATCCCTTTAAACCACCACACCAATCTTTCCTCCCCCCACACAACAAATGCATCGTGGGGCAACTCGAAAACACATCCCTCTCGAAATCCCTTCCGACTGAGAGTTATTATGACACTCAAAAACGGCACCGGCCAAGCTTGCGCCGCCTGCAAGTACCAACGCCGGAGATGCACCCCAGAATGCCTCCTCGCCCCATTTTTCCCGGCCGACCAGCCGAAAATGTTCCAGTACGTTCATCGACTGTTCGGGGTCAAGAACATCCAGAACCTCCTTAAGGAGCTCAGCCCCGAGCAGAAGCCCATGGCCATGAAGTCCATTAAATTCCACGCCGCCATGAGGGACAAGTACCCTGTATACGGCTGTCTTGTCGAGATACAACAACTCACTTATCAAATCCAGATGGCCGAGGAGGAACTCCAGGCAATTCTCCAACAACTCGCCTACTACAGACAGCAGCAGCAGCAACAACAACAACAACAACACCATCAGCAAGAAGTTTCTGCCACAACTGAGTATCTCTCGGAGCTACAATTAGGCATGGCTCCGCCTGGCCCAAACACAACAATGACACTGGTTCAAGACGAAAGTAACAATAACAATAATAATAGTAATGGTAACAATAACCCGGCCCAATACAATAATGTAGCGGACTTGCCGATTGGGCCGGGCCCACAAATCTCGTCTTATTCCAACAGTTGCAACGGCGATTACGGCATTACTTATTTGGATTTCAAGGAGAGCAATGCAGTTGATTCCTTCTGTCACGAAACGTATAGTAATAATAATAGCAACGAGAATGTGATCAATGCGGATGCAATGGTCGTGCAGGCACAACTCGTCACTTCGCCGCAACTTATGAATGTCGAACAAGAAGCAATGGCTCATGATTATAACGAGATGCACCCTTTTTTCGATAATATTGATGACACGCAATCGTACATTGGTTGCAAGGATGCGTACGAGACGAGGTTTTTGCCTTCTATTCGGTTTTGTTAATTGTTACGTAATGTCTTTGTCGTGGTATCTAATTTGTTTTTACGTCGTTTTTTTTTTTTTT